GTTAAAAACAAACTTTACTAATTAGTTGAAAAATTATTTTAAATGATGTTAAAACAAATGCTGATTAATGCAAGAACTTAGCAACGCGTAATTAATATCTTTAATAATCACCTTATGATTGACGTAAATTTATAATAAAAACTTAACTAATTAATATGAAAATTTTAATTTTAGTGTAAACTTATTCTTACTGATGTAGAAATTTAAACATCTTTGATAAATTATAATGTGACGAATTAATATGTAAGTGAGAACGAAAGCAAAACGACTTCAAGTCTCGTATAAGAAAGGTAGAAAAAATGATTAAAAATAATTTGATTACCAAATGAAAATCGAAGATTCTTCTAATATTCGCCTTTTAACTTCTTTCAGTTTTTTGCATCAATCAAACAGGTTTTGAAGGTTTAAGACTGTTAGGGGTTTGACCTCATTGATTTGTAAATTCAGAGAGTATTTTCATTTTTTATTTATTTGTTTGATAAGTATTTTGGAATCTCTAATGTGTACAAACCCTAATATGTAATTAGCGATTTCTAAACTAAATAAGAGCGGTAAATACGCAGCACCTTAAAATTGAAGTTTTTTTAGTTATTTGGCATACTATAAGACAAGTATGGTTATTCTGATGAAATTGCTCTACTATGTAAGATTAATTGGTTACACTTGGGAACATAAACATTGCTCAAAAAATGATGAAATAAATTACGAGAACACAAAATACAATTAGCAAGTAATCAGACTGTAATATTAAGGATGATTATGCAATAAATCATAGAATGAATGTGGTTAGTGAACTCAATATGTAGAATATGCAATTCGAATTCGCAATTTAAAACCTCCTGCGATGCAAAATTTTGAATGATTTATGTATTTAATAGATCTCCTAAATCTGGTTATAAATAAATTTTTATAACTGCATTTAATATTATTCTCAAAATAATTTTATCTGATTCGAACAAATTTAGTAGTTTTGCAATGACTTACGAAAAACTATGGAATGCGAGTTTATCTTCGTTTTATGAACTGATAAAGGAATAGATATTAAGGAATAAATATTGGTTTTTTTTCTAGATAAAGAAAAATCCAATATTAAATTTATGCAATCCAAAAAAAAAAAGAAACTGAATTTCGATTTTGAGAAAAACTATTGGATTTCGTCATTTCAATTGCATTTAAGAATTCTCTGCCAAATTTTTCATAAAAAAAATTTGTGATTATTTGCATCAGTAAACAAAAATTATTAAAGATTTCAAAGTCAATACTTAAATTTGTTAATCATTATATTTATGTGCAAATTAAACTTGTTGCAAAAAATCTTGTCAACTATTTTCTTTTAGACAAAATAAAAAACTAAAAATTTAAAAAATAAATCCACGTAACTGAAAAATTGAATTGAAATTGATAAGAGTTATACTAACAACAGAATTTTTACTTAAAGCTGGCAAAAAAGGCAACGTGTTTTTTTTCATTGAAAGATGATCTTCACAATAAAAATGGTGTTGGAGTAATGTATTTTGCACCAAAACTTAATAACTTTAAATTGAAGTGAAGAAAAACTCGTTAAAATATCATGAGCACACAAATCCCTGTGCCTTTATCTTTCTTTCCTAAAACTACTTACAGTGCTAAGTAAAAAATAGAACACCCTGGATAAAATTTTGACCTTATGATTGTATTTACTCGTACTAACACAAAATCGAGAGACTAACATTTAATCTACGAATTATACATAATATTCTAATATACTAATTAGTATTTTGCGAACGATGTTTCAAACTTGAACATCGAACAAAATCAACTCTATAACTGATAAATAAATTTTATAACTGGTGTAGTTTTTTTACCCCAAAAATAAAAAAGAAGAATCCGCAATTTGGAAATACCATTTCAATATTTTAGGCTGGAGAGATGTCGAAACTTTGGGCCCCTTAATATTAATTTCGATTTTTTCGTTCAACTTCTCGATTTTTTTAAAATTTAAAACTGTAAAATAAAAACGATATGCACATTATTTCTCAAAACTTTTAAACCATTAATAAATAAAATAATAAAAAGTAACAAATATTTATTGCAATCGGTTCTTTGTGTAGAATTATCCATAAATAAGCGATTTTTATAGTTGTGTGACAAAATATTTAATTATCTTAAATAGTTTCAGGGATAAGGTGAAATGCGCGAAAACAGAAAAAGAAAATAAATAAGGGAGCCAGCATGTAGACCACTTAGTTGTCCTAACTATTGAGAATGTGGTAAAACTTGGCAATTTTATCATGATACCTTGAAGCATTTCTTAAAATATTTATTCGGATAAATTTACTTTTTAGTTTTGTGTCATTTACTAAATAGACGGTAATAAGAACTATAATTTTGAAAACCAGAATTTCCGTTAAGCCGTTGCTATATGAATTTAAACCTTTATTGTATGAATGATTTAAGTACCTAAGATTTTGATTTTATTACCAGAAATGTCTTTACAATACGTTAATTTTACCATAATTTTTTTCTCGAGCTTAAACGCAATGCAGAATTATTCAACTATTTAATAATTCAATAGCTAAACAATAGTTATTAATCATTATTTTTTAGGTGGGATTTTTTTTGAATTAACGAATTTTATAATTGATTCACTTAAACACGCGAAATACGTAAATAGTAAAATTAACATTAAAGAAATAAAGCTTTCGACAGTTCTCTGACCATATTTTCTAGATTATGGTTATAAGTTGTGTTGTATACGAGAAAAATGGCAACGAAGCCTAAACATATAAACCACTAAACAATATAAGTGATTGCGTTGCCACTTTATATTTTGGTAATTCTGTGATCATAACTATACCCGTGAGAGCTACAAAATCTTTCTATTCCCTTTTTATAATGCATATTTAATATTGCAATTATATAATAATTTTATTCCGTTTCTTCAACAGTATTTACTCCAGGGAATCAGATGCCGGCAAAGTTAATCTATAAATTAAGTTATATTATTAACCGGCAAAGTTAATCTATAATTAATTTATATTATTAACCGGCAAAGTTAATCTATGAAAATATATATTTAATAAAGTTAATATATATTTTCAACTATATTTTCAAAACAGTTTTGAATTACATTAAAAAATTTATATTTATAAATTTATATTAATAAGTTTTTTTTAATAATATTCTTTTTATTACAAATAAAGTTTCAATACTACGTAGATAACCTCTCAACGAAAACCCACATTAATTTTTTTAAATGTCTAAACAATTACATAACATAATAATTTTTTTTTATTGATAATCATTATATTATACTGTTAGAATAAAAATTCTTATAATAAATTTATTTTACATAAAAGAAAATTCCTTTCATTATTTGAGTATATTATTATTAAGTTAATGTTTATCAATATATAATATTTTAACGTGTTATAATATTTTAATATTAATTAAAACCATAAAATATTAACGAAAGCCGTCATAATATGTCAAAAGGGATAAATGACGTAAGATCATGATAAATAATATCCATAAATATTCTTGAATCATCCGAAAACGGAATAAAATCTTATAATTATAAGGCTTGTTGCAGACCAAACGTTATCTTACTTTCCTAACAGTTCTTATCTCCTAAATTATCTAGTAAAGATTAGTTTTAGTTTAGAATGTTTCATATTAGGATTTACTTTATAACGACTATTACATATTGCTTTGAAGAGATCATTACTCAGTTCATTACTTCAGTAAATAGTTTAATTATAAGATAGTTAAGAGAAACTAATATAAATGACTTCATTTTAATCTTCCCTATTGATCCACATCAGATATATAATTTCAGGAGTAAAACTGCTCACAAACCGATTAGTAGAAAATAAATATTTCTTAGAGAAAACTTGATACAAATACCATAAGAAATACGTGAAAATATTATTTTTATAAACTGATAACGTGATATAGATAAGTAAAAGGTTTTGCACAATCACGGCCCTTAATACATATTTTTGGGATCTTTTCAATAAATAAAGTCAAAAAAAGTATGCACAGGGATTACAAATTAGCATTTAGGAAAAGAAAAACGATAGTACTTTTAAAATCTAACAAACTATTGCTGAGAAAGGCGGGGATGAGAATACCAAAAGCTATTGTATGGAAGAGCAAATAAAGAACAATAATACTTTACGTTTGCTGTGGATTTTCCAAAATTTTAGCAGGTGGCTGATTTGTAAAAGAAGAATTCGATTTTCCTCATGTTATGTAATTGAAAAGTAGAGAGTAGTTAGGAAATGTCAGAACAACTTTGCCCGAAAATTCGTCTCCTTTGTTAAATAAAAACATGTCTATGTGTCAATAGGCAATTGAGCTGGTTTTTCTGTTTTCATCTCGCCTTTCACACTAGTGATTCGAGAGAATTTGATAGCACTTTTTGCTTCTTTCTCACTTAAATATTAAGCATGCGACTTCTAATCATATATATACGAGATACATATACTTTATTCTTGACAAAGATTCTGAAAATATACATTAAGAATAGTGATTACGGAACAATCTGTATCTGCTCAATGGTTGATACTGGGTGTTCTGTAGTCACCGCCTTTAATGTACACTTTTAGAATCTGTGTCAAAAATAAAGCTATAATTTATAATTATAAGAAATCTCAAATTTATATTTAAGTGATTAAAAAATTAAAACGTAGTCAGAACTTGATTAATACTGAAGTGCAATAGAACGACAAAAATTTTTTAAGTTTTTACTATTTTTTTCTTTTTTTTATTTATTTAAAATCTTTTTTTTTTGTCTTTTCTTTTGCTTCTTTTCTTGTGTTTTTTCTTTCTTTGTATTTTTNTATTTAATTTAAATATATATTTTATTATATTAGTCAAAATATTATTTTTAATATATATAAAATTTAAAATATTTAATGTTTCTTAGCTGAGTTGAAAGGTGCAGTAAGCACGTGTCTGTCTAATATTATACCATTATTATGAGATATCACATAAAAAATTAATAAGAACAAAATTACCTCGTTTTTATCCACAGTCTGATCATTAGCAACTGAATCTTTTATTGCAACAACCTCAGACAAGACAAGAGAAAACACCAAAAACACCTACAAAAAAATAGTTCTAATTTGAAAATTCATCAAACAAAATACACTTAATATAATTGAAAAATAATCAAACTGCAATATTTCAAAATTTCAGAAAAAAAAATTTTCTCTTTTTTTTTTCCAATGTCTATCTGTGTTAAAAAAATTTTTCGTCAATTCAGGCATTTACAAGGCGATTTTGTTGACATCTCTTTCAGGGGCACCATATTAGGTGGGCCAACGCTGCTCCCACAGTAAGGACAGATAGTACAGAGAAGGAAAGAACATCCATGCCTCTCCCGGGATTCGAACCCAGAACCTTTCTGATGCAAGGGCAGTTCCCTAACCCCTACACAGGTCGGTCGGCAAATTGCAGAAACAGTAGCAACTCGGAAAATTAGTAATGTTTTGGCATTCTTTATACCTAATATTATTAAAAATGATATATTTTATCCTACAGCTGATTCGATACTATAAAAAATTACCAATTGTTTTAGAAACATTTTACAGTCTATGTATTGGAGATGATGATAATACTTAAAATCTCAAATATTGTCCACCATATATTTTTGATATTTTACACTTTTAATATTATGTAATTTAATATCGTTTTTTAGATTGTGTATTTTTAATACAACGTAGTTTGATACCGTATGCTTCTGATGTTGTATATTTTTAATACTACGTAGTTTGGCATTGTTTTTAATTGTATATTGTTGATAAAACATAGCTCGATAATTTATGCTTCTGATACTGTATACTTATAGTATATGCAATTTGAAATTGTTTTTTGATTATATATTGTTGATGAAACATAGTTTGATAATGTATGATTCTGATACAGTACACTTTTAATATGACACAACTTGGCTTTGATTTTTGGATTGTATGTTGTTGGTAAAACAAGTTTGATATTGTATGTTTCGAATATTGTATATTTTTTATTACAAATTTATACGTAGGTTTTTAATATTATGTTGTTTGACATTGTATGTTTTTAATATTATATTGTTTGATATTGGGTATTTTTGATGTGGATATTTCTAACATCACATACTTTATTGTATAATTTTGATATTGTGTGTTTTTGATAGGTTGGCAGGTACTTTATTTACGTCGCACTAGAACTGCTCAATTGGCTTTTGGCGACGGTGATTCGAAGGTATGCTATTGTAATTTTGATCCTCTGCGGAGAAGATGGCTCCCCTGCATTGGCAGCCCAACGACTTATGCGCGAAGTCGAGCACTTTACGGTAGAACAGTTTAACGAGGGCCGGTAGCACTCTCCTTTGGTCCCTACACAGGCTGATATTGTATACTTTTATTATTACATAATTTATTACATAGTTAATTGAATTTGAGTATTGCTTTAACATTACATACTTGAATATTTCAGAATTATCATATCAACTTGATTTTTAGTTTGTTACTGTGCTATTTGATATTGTTTATTTACTTGTACAGAAATTTCCAAAAAGCAGAAGAATATTTTCTCAATTCTTCAACAAAGAATTTTCATCAAATGTCATTAATAACTAATTCAGAACTAAATCATTTGAGTCAAAAACAAGTAAATAAGCATCTCCAATCAAATTCAACCTTAATGGTATACCCCAAATTCTTAAAACTCCTTTGATCTGCAACTCTTTCGGGGGAAACATATCATTTAACTTTCTTCTTCACAAGTTAAAGGATCCATTCGACAGTGATAATTAAAGAACATGACACCCAAACTTTTCCGTTAATGAGGTTTTACTTCAACATTTCTTCACGCGTCATCATAAGGAAAACATTTCTAATTTTGTCTCGCCAAGTATACAATCACTTTTGGAATGGTGAGCACCCACTTAAAACCATTAAGGGGATCCCCCTTTTCCAGACGACTGAGCCCCCAAGTTAACACCACACTTTACCAACGCGCATTGTTATAGAGACCCTCTTACTGAAGGCTTTACCTTTGAATTAATTAATGGCATCCTTCAACACTGCTGCAATTAACTATCAGTCCTGGAGTCATCACTCAGGAAAGGTTGTTGTGGGGGTGGGGGTGGACTATGTTATTACGGGTTCGTTAGGGAAGGTGGGGGAATATAGCCGTATGCCTGCTTTTCTCGCCACTTGGCATTCCAAGAGGGAGAAGTTTGTTGGTAGAGAATGGGATGAAGAGGGTTTCCAAAATTGGTTTTGGCTACCTTAACCTGTTGTTTGCGTGTTGTTGTTATCAGACAGAGGGTTATCAAATATTGTGTATGGCGGGTTGTGTTATTGTTAATTTTGCATAAGAGGATATATTATAGACGGAAAGACACCCTAATCATTTTTAACTAGGTGGAGGATTTTTACTTTTTATCTTTAAACTATTAATGATTTAATTATTTTATTTTTATTCGAAGGATTTGTTGCTCAATGGAACAACCAATTTTAGCGAATGACAAGCTATTTTAATATCTGTTTTCTATGGTAAGCTTGGAATGACTTTTCATAACTGTTAGGTTATGTTTTGTTCATTGCCGACCAGGTGGCCGAGTGGTTAACGTGCCTGACTGCGGAACCGATGGTTGCGGGTTCGAATCCCGCTCAGGGTATGGATGTTTCTTTCTCTCTGTGCTCTATGTCCTTTCTTCTGTGTGATTGTGTGAATATAACCCGCCCTGTAAGCGGGTTTGTGGTTGTATGACGTAGGCGACGCTACTCCACCGCCGTGGCTTAGCTATAGGTGCCTACTGGGTAACGATAAGAGAGTAGCAATTCTGGCATTTCTGAGGCCAATGGGAAATAGACCAAATTAATCAACAACAAAAAAAGAATGTTTTGTTCATCTCTCATCTAGAGCCTTCTATGCTAACAATAAAACTAGAACAAAATGACTGTATGAAGATGAACCATCATCTTTTGGAAAATGAAATGCGTCCGTGCACTGTAAAAAAGGGTGCCTCAAAACTGAGCAAAAATATGTCAAAATAGCTTCAAAACAAAACAAAAAAATCGAATTTGAAACCCCCATGTATTCAAATTTGAAACAGTATGTATTCATTTTTGAACAAAATACATAGTCTCAAATGTGATGTGGAGGGAGAAATATGTGAGAGAGATCTTCGTTGCCTACCGGCAGGATTCAAACCTAAAACCTCCGGGTACATTCTGGGATGCTCTAACTACCAATTTTGTACTCAAGGGGGGGGGGAAATGGACAATCGACTAAAATTCCTTACCAAAAATATAATGTTTATTAATCAGATTTTCCAAAAGAAAATCGCGAAGAATTTCTTAATTTCTATATGAAAACAATAAATTTATATAAAGTATCTTTAAAAATTTTGCAACTTTTTGAAGGTATTACTATTTGTGCTTTAAGGAAGAGACCCGCAATAAATTTTACCCGGGGACCCGTAAAACCTTTGTTCAGCTTAGCTAACCACCGTATTTATATACCCAAGTTCAGGCAGAGTTAAGAAGCTTTATATAGTGGCCTCCGCAATAAATCATCCTGACAAACATTCTTTTCTCTTAGAAAAATTTTGGATATACAGTGAAACCTCTCGGTAAGGGCCACCTGTCGTTCCATTGAAAATTGGCCCTTATGAGGGGTGGCCCTTAAATGGGGGTGACCAAAAAATAAAATGAGGAAATCAAAATTTATGTAGAAAAAAACTGTTTAATAACATTTTAAGTTTTTATACATGTTTAAAAAAATTTCAATTGAAGTTTGTTTACTTTTTACAATTTTTTCGCAAACAATTTCAGTTTCTAATGATTCCTTAACTCTATAAAACAAATTAGCAGTTAAATTCGCATCATTTATTAATGGCTTGGATTGGGATATCAGTTTATTTACTTCTATTAGCGTTTCTTGGTTTGATAAATATGGCACGGGGGACTCATTCTCATTATCTGAATCAGACTGAACTCCTGAAAAAATTGAACAAATAAGTTTAAAAAAAATATGTATTGTATTTTTTTAAAACTTAAAACAATATAATTTTTGAGAAATTTTTTTTAAAAAAAATGACCTTTATTGGAGGTAGTCAGGAAAATGTGGCCCTCTAATGGGAGGAAAATTAACATTATGTCTATGGGGAAAATTTTCGTTCCTCAAAATATTGGCCCTTAATAGAGGTGGCCCTTAAGTAGAGGTGGCCTTTAGGAGAAGTTTCACGATATAGAAAAATAAGCAATTAGTGAAAATAAAATTATCGACCTCCTGACTAAGCTATTGAGACAATATTTCCCATATTGCAACCCTTTGTACCATTGGAATAAAAAATTAGTATGTGATAATGTGTCATTGTGGTAGCTACAATGTAAATCTTCCTGATCTTCCTGGACTAGGGCCGAAAATGGTGGCTAGAGTATCCTACTTCGAACATGAAACCCAGAAATCCTTGTATGAAGCATAGGTTGTGTTCTTGTTAATTTGGTATAAGAGGATTTATTGCTGATAGACAGACAACCCTAATAACCCTAATAATTTTTAACTAGGTGGATGATTTTTGTCAGTTTGTCAGTATTGTGATATCTCCCTTACCACAACTGAACAAAAACGAACTGCGCATGCGTAATAGTCAGTCAGTGATTTTTAAGCGAGTAAGTCGAAGGAGATCCTCTCCTCTCTTCTATAGAGTCATGAATGAAAATTTGTGTGTTTTTTATTTTTGTTATGTTTTAATAATTTTTTTTGTTCATAACCACGTCTGTGCGTATGTTTGTTGAGAAATACGTTACAGTATATTCTTCAACTGGTAGTAATGGTATTTTATTTACTTCGCATTGGATCTGCATTGTGTGCTATTGGCAACGGTCTCGGAAACATCCCTGAGAATGATCCAAAGACATGTCATCACTATTTTGAGAATTTATCGTTGATAGACGGACAGCCCTTTCGCCTTCTAATGAAGTAAACCGGGGTTCGAATCCCAGCAGTGGCTGATCGATACGAATTCCGCATCCAGCTTGGAAAAGACAACAGTTTGACGTAAATTATCCTGAGTGGTAGACTGATCATGGGTAAGAGTCTCCTTGCCGTCTGGCTAACCTTGTGAGATTTTCGCGGTTTTTCTTTCCACATAACGCAATTGTGGGTTAGTTTCATCAAAAAGTCCTGCACAATGGCAAATTTCTCCCAATACATGATGAGGGAGTTTCCTTGTCTTAATTGGGTTCAACATTACAAGGCTACAAAGTTGAGCATTAGTAGGGGTAAAACTAAAAATTGGGTCGGATGTTCAACAACAGCTAAAAAAATTAATAAATTAATTAATTAATTTTAAACTAGATTGATGATTTTTGTTTTTTAGTATATTCTTCAACTGGTAGTAGTAGTATTTTATTTACTTCGCACCAGAGGTACATTGTGGGCTATTAGCGAAGGTCTCGGAAACATCCCTGAGGATGATCCGAAGACATGTCGTCACAATTTTGATTCCCTGCGGAGGGAAAAACTCCCTAGCTTTAGTAGTCCGAATATCTGCGCGTAAAGTCGAGCACTTTACGGTAGAACAGTTTAACCCCTTCCTTTTCGTTCCTCTGAAAATGACAAGTTGAGGTTTCGCCCTCTATTTCTCGCTCCCATCATATTTCCGGGCTGGAGTGTTCAGTAGCAACGGGCCAATAGTAATAAAACTAATTCATTTCTTTTGCCCGAAAAATATTTTATTTCTCATTTTACACACCAGATGGCAGTACCAGAATATTTTTAAGGTAATTGTAGATAGTTAGTTTATTTTAAACTAGATATCAGCACAAGATATTTGGATGTCAAAAAGCAAATAGGCACTTTTATGATCGTTTTCTTGAAAATTAACCGATCGTTAAGGGGTTAATAAGGATCGATACCGCACACTTTGACTTCGGTGATTTAGTGGGAACAAAGTCTTATGATCAGTTATTTAAATATTGAACCTATTAAAGAGAGATAAATGTTCCAAGAGCATTAAAAATCAGAGGTGATAAAAAAAAACACTGTTTTCCATTTTCCCACCCTCATCGAATATAGTCATAACCAGTTTTTTAAGTCCAGAATAAGAAGCGGAAAAAACATTTCCATAGGGCTAGCTACACTAAATATCTTACAAAGCTTATAGAGTTTCAGCATAGCAAGTTTATAAATAAGTAAATTTTACCGATTTATTTGATAAAGTTAAAACGTAATGGAAAACCGAGTCTTTCCCTAAACGCTAACGGAATTTTGCCAAAGATTCGTATAACATAACATTCATGGAATATAGTCTTAGTATAAGTCAATAAGTTATCCACTATAGCTTATGCTTTTTTTATTTATTTTTTAAAAATTTCTTTAACTCGAAGCAAAACATATTAACTCTTTTGATAAAAATGCTCTTACTATTATTTTTCAACCCGGTATTTCTCTCTACTTAAATTATTCCAAAAATTCTTATTTCAACTCTATTTAAATTAACCTACGGTTCATTTGAGCAGAAGAACGTTAACAATTCTAATTTAAACAATGGAATAAAACTGCACTAGGAATCATAATTGCACAGACATAGTTTCTTTCCCAGTTGTTAGTTAATGGCTGTACAGAAGAAACAGACTCCTGTAATATATATTTTACGAATCTATGTATAATATATATGTATTCATTTAGTATAAGTATAATAAACTATTCCGTAACAGCTTATGCTATTTTTTAAAATAAATTATAAAATTCGAAATCTTTTGTTAAAAATATGCTCATTATCATTTTTTAACATATTCTCATTCGTATTTTATTTAGAAAACAAATGGTGTCACTATTTTATTAAATTTATGATTCCAATTTCTATCGAAGAACATTAGAAACCTAATATAAACAATGGAATAAAACTCCGTTATGAATCATAATTGCAATACACGCAGTTTTTTTTTTCAGTTTTAAGTTAATAGCTGTACCAAAAAAAAGACTCTTATAATACGTATTTTATAAATATATATATATGCATCTTCCGTAACAGCTTATGGCATTTTTTAAATAAATTATAAAATTCGTAATAATAACTCTGTTGTTAAAAATGCGCTAATTATCATTTTTAACATATTCGTAATTAATTATTTTAAGAACTGAAACGACGACATTATTTATGGTCTATTTCTATAGAAGAATAATAAAAATCTTAATTTAAACAATGGAATCAAACTCAGCTATGAATCATAATTACACTACACGGAGTTTCTTTTTCAATTACAAGTTAATAACTGTACCAAAAAACAGGCTCCTATAATATGTATTTTAAGAATACATATATAATGTATATGTTTTCGTCTAGTATAAGCATGATAAAAAATTTCCATTACAGCTTATGGTATTTTTTTTTAATAAATAAATTATAAAATTCGAGCGCGTTTGTTAAAAATGATCTAACTATCATTTTTAACATATTCTCATTCGTATTTTAATTATTTTAAGAACTCAAACGACGTCACTATTTTCTTAAATTTATGGTTTATTTCTAAATTTCTAATATAACAATAAAAATCTTAATTTAAACAATGGAATAAAACTCATCTATGAATCATAATTACACTACACGGAGTTTCTTTTTCGATTATAAGTTAATAACTGTACAAAAGAAACAGACTCCTATAATATGTATTTTAAGATTCTTCTCATACTTATTTTAATTATTCTAAAAAAAAATCAAATGGCGACACTGTTTTATTAAATTTATGATTCATTTCTATAAAAGAACATTAAAAAACATAATTTAAACAATGGAATAAAACTCCGCTATGAATCATAATTGCACTACACGCAGTTTCTTTTTCAGCCATAAAGTTAAGGGCCGTACCGAAGAAACCGACTCTTACCCTAAATTTTTACGGCATTTATGATAAATATACGTATAATATAAAAATCTGATATCCCCTTTTTTTTCTGTAACACCTCTCGGGAGACCAATAGGGCTAGAAAAATATAGTACTTACTTTCCACCAAATACCCTTACATAAGATAATTTAGAAAAAAAAAAGGTACACTCAAAAACCCCTCGTAAATTTGACTTTAAAAAATCCAATACAGTCGGGATACCCTAAAACTGTATCTTTAACCATTCAGGAAAAGTTCTTCGTTGTTATTACCTATAACCGTGTATTACAAATAAAGATATGTTTCGGATAGAGACGAAATAATGTTCTTTTGGAAGTTATCTTAGTGGTTCTTCAGCGCCCTCTATCTGCGTTTCAGAAACTTTCAATATCTAAATATTGGGAAAAGGATTATTGTTATTAAACATAGAAATTTTTTTTTCCTTCGGAAAAACAGTTTATTCCGTTGATTGTTAGAGGAAATGGTTCTTCATATCAATTTAAAGGTTTGCTTTTTTATGTTTTTGTTAACTTCTAAATTCAATTTTTATTTTATTTCCCAATGTGGGGTGCTAATGCACTATGTAGAGCATTTAATAACAAAGAAGAAAATATATTTAATACAACTGTTTTTATATTATTACCTCATATTTATAACACTTTGTACGAATAAAGTTAGTTACTAACATACGTGCTTTATCAATGCCGTTTATTACCGTATCAAAGCTGTCATAAAAAATAATGGACAAACTAGAACGTATATATTGTTTAAAAAATTTTTTTAACATTTATTATTTTTTTCATTAGTTATATAATGCAAAAAAAGATATGATTAAAGGGGGGCAATTCTTGATATACATAATTGCTATTTATTTGTCTCCTTGTTTTTTTATTTTATTTAGAAATTAATTACAATTTTTTTTTCAAATGTTTATTTATTTTCTTGCACTTATTTATTTATTATTATTATTACTAGCCGCCTTTAGCGACAAGCTTCGTTAACTTTCAAAATTATCTTGCACAACATATAAACTTTAATGGCAACCAACCCGAATGCCCAACACAACTGCGTAAAAATAATCTAATTCTTCAACACCTTCTTCAATCCT